CCCCCCCCCCCCGCCTCCGAGAAGGAAAGCTCCATTCAGCATTTATCTCCGAATGACAGCCACTTCTGAAAAGAATCCACTAATATTTATAATTCACATGCAAAAATGTGTCAAACAGACTTAGCAAGCTTCCCATGAATTCTCTGTGACTAGCAACCAAAGCAGAAAAAAGGAACATATGGAATTTGTGGTTATTTAATAGCAATTTGATCTGAATGAACAAGCAAGTTTGCTCATTTTTCCAAATGTGAACCTAGTACAATTACGAGTGCCTGGAAGTGAGTAAAGAATACGCTCACTATTTGTGTTTTAATATGATATTTCTATCTTTTTTCAGAATGAAATCTTTATTCCTGGCAAAGAGAGAGACAAAGGACACTCGTGCCTGTGCCCTTTCTCAGTACAGAGCCATCTCTGTTTCTGCCTTTTCCAACTCAAAACCCCTCAAACTTCAAGACTTTTCCCTCCCTACTGGGCATATTGTCTCAAGCATCAGAGCAGTAAAATGTTCTCCAAAGGACTCCGCGCTAAGGAACCTTGTGGGAAATCTGAAGAGAAAGAAGCCAGAGAATAAAAACCACCTTTTCTGTTTAGCTCTTGCGTCTCTTCCAGCGATACCAATATCCATTCACCATAAAGAACTTTCAAGCACTCAAGAGCCATCAGAAGGTGAGAGTGGCCTCTTTCAGAGGAAGCCAGCTCCTTGCTACCCAGGTGTGGGCAGCCACTTGTAAGTGGTGCTGTACGGGGAAATTAGATGTACAAAAAGGAGCTGGGAATAGTTGAACAAAGTGCCCTCCAGTCCTGCGAGTCTATGAATCTAAGAGTGCTGATCGGTCTCATAAAAACCTATAAGATGGGGCAGGGATGAGCTCTCCAGCTGAGGAGATGGTCGGGCTCTCGGTTCCCACCGAAGTCACCGTGACCCGGCTGGATATGGAAGGCACCACAACCCCGATCGCTTTCGTGAAGGTCATTTTATTTCCTTACATCAAAGAAAATGTGCAGGAGTATCTGGAGACACACTGGGGGCGGAGGAGGA